GTCAAATCCCTCCACACTTAATTCAAAACAAGGTTTGGATCTTCTTGTCATTCTCTGAAAAAAAATTAGAAAAAAAAACATAAATAAACTTTTTCAAATATATTTTCCGAGAAAACAACCTAAAGGAATATTTACACGTCCATTGAGGCATATATAACATATTTCCCTTGTTTTTGAGGAGAAATATTGCATCAACACTCCACACCTAAAGTTACGTGCAGAGTCCAATGAGATCACACCACGTGGCGGTGATAGAAAAAGAAAAAGAAAATTTGCCCGGTAACACAAGAGAATATTCATCCCGTGTTATTCATGTGTTATTATGTGTTATTGTGTTATTATATCACCGAGAATATTCCCAAGACGCAATAACACATGAAAAACATACAAAAACGCCTGAATAACACGAAATAACACGGGGGAAAATATTTCTCTATGTTACTGGGCAGATTTTTTTTTTCTGTCATCTCCACGTGACATGATTTCATTAGACTCCACACGTAACTCTACGTGCAAACTCCTGATACAATATTTTTTCTGTTTCTAAGAAGTGAATTTACTTGCTTTCACATACACTTGAAACATTCTGATAAATATTCGGAGATATTTTTTTATCCTAATGTACTATAAACGACTCATGTTTAACATTGTTATTTTATGGGACAATTACATGTACCACCCAATTCCTATGTATTTACAAAGCATCTAACACCTAAATTTTATTTTTTTTATATTTATATCACCCAAGTCTTTCGTATCAAACAAAAAATATCACCATTTTAACTTTTAAAAAGTTAATCAAACATTTTCATCCATAAATAAGGTGGTGTATGTTGGTAAAAATTCACGTTTAAGTATGTCAGATATGTAAATACATAGGAATTGAGTGCTATGCATGCACAACTTGCTATTTTATTTTAATTTTATTATTTTAAGATAAGCAGACCACATCATATAAAAATTATGATGTGCGGAACTAGTGTGATTTTCTTAAATATAAAAATGCATTTTTAAAGTTTCATTGCGTTTATTTGCTTATCATGTCGTTTACATGTTTACCAACTGCGGGGTCCAAAAAGTAACAAATTATTTGCGTGAGGATCCAAAAAGAATTTTGATTTATCAGCTACAGCCAAACACGAACAAACAAAGCTTGTGTTCGTGCTCGATCGTTTGAAATTTAATTTATTTGAAATAGGCTCGTGTTTCAAATTATTTATGACGTCACTGTTCGTGTTCGTTTCTTAACGAAAGGGCCGAACACGAGCTGCTTGCAAATGACGAGCCAGTTTGACATCCCTAATATTAATATATAAAAATAATATATTATATTAATTATATAACTTATATTATATAAATATATAATATCTATATTAATATATTAGTAATATAGTATATTAATATATTATTATTTTTAATTTATTATATGTTATAATTTATAAAATTTAATTTTTTAAAATATCATAAATTTTTAATATATAACTATTTCAAATTATTTTATATTTCGAACAATAACGATTCAAATACGAACGAACACATCACTGTTCGTGTTTGCTTCATTGAACTAACCGAACGAAAAAAAAATTTGTCCATGTTCGTCTCGTTTACTTATCGAACGAATCGAACACGAACTCATTGACGAACCGAACACGAACAGTTCACGAACAACAAGCTTTTTTGACAGCCCTAATGACAATAAGCTGCAAAGCCAGCAGATGATATCTGTTTATAAGTTATCCAAAAGAAAAATATACATTTACAATACCTGACTAATAATAATTAAAGAACAGCAAATAGGGGGGGAAAATGTTGCTAGGCAGCTTGTACTCGCTATATTTAGTTAAATGGCCCACAATCCTCACAAATTTCTCCAACTGCATGAGGGTCAGAGGCATAAAAATTAGAGTTGTAAGGAAAGCAAAGGGGGTGCAGATGTAAACAGAATGTAGCTACTCACCTGGAAGAGAAATAGCCGAGTAAGCCAGATTATCAGCAACAGCATTGAAGCCCTTCAATTAAAATATTAAAAGAAGTCGGAAACATGGAGGAGCATGGTTATAGAAAGAGAGAGAGAGAGAATTGTTCACCCTCTTGACATGGATGATATTGAAAGACTGAAACATATCCTTCAATCTCTTAACCTCCTTGCACAACGCCGCCATGTTTTGATTTTTCGTTTGCCAGAGATCTTGCACCTGATTTTGTGCAACACCGATCATATCGAACAGACAATGATAGGAGAAAAAATATGATAATATATGCACACACTACAGGAAATAGGTTAAATAGCGTCAATTTTAGCGTCATAAATTATTTGATGCAAATTATAGCATCGAATTTGCGTCTGCCTTATGACCAAAATGATTTGAGGGTGTTTGCAGGGAAGTTTAGGTCGAACAATATCAACGCTAAATGTTTGCATCGAATTTGGCGTCGATAAAATGTCGACGTAATATGTTTGCGTTGCACTTTATGTCGACATTTTGTCAACATATTATACTCACTAAATAGCATCGACTATTCCGACGGTTAGCCTGACGTTAATGAATTTGCGTCTGAATTTGTCTCATTATGAAATCTCGATGTGACTATTCTCTTGCTGTTATGTAAGCTTGAGCAGATATTTCCTTCTGGTTTCTTTGACTATATAGAGAACTAATCCACACATCTAAGTTGAGGCTATACTTGGGAGTCAAGTTTAGTACAGATGGATTTATCCCTTTGAGAGATAACTTCTCGATGACTCTAGATGCCTTACATTTTATTTTACACTAATCTACTATCATATTTATTAAAAAAATATCTCAGTATTGCGGAATTTTAAATAAAATAAAACAAAATTGTTAAAAATATAGCACATATGAAGGGCTGGATATGCAATGCATATTTGCTCCAAAAAAATAATTTTTTGTTCCTACTATTTAAAGCAAGGAAAGCAAATACATCACATTGTTGGTGGCATGCCTTCAGAGCCAGATTAATCTGTATTTTTGATATCAAGAGAATCATCAGAGATGCATGGCACATGTTATTTAAACGATAAAAAGCTTAAAGTAGCTACATTATATGTTCTACTAAACTGCAACGAAGTCCAATCATTTATAAAGTAAGTTTTCTAATAATTAGATTATTTTTCAATTATTACACGAAATTTTATACTAACTTCAACAAATAAATAACAATGATATGTGCAGGTTCTTTACCGAAAGTTTAAATATAAAGGATAACTCTTGCATGAGCAAAATGTTTGTCGTGTTCAATACGATGATAAACAGAAAATAAGAAAAGGATAAATGATCACAAATCAAGAAAAGATGATGCATGTCAGCCTTAGCAGCATGCTTGCTTGGATCACAAAAAAATTTAGGTTAACGGTTTAGTTATCCACCGCCCCACCTCATCAGAGCATTGCCATTTATTAAGAAACACGATTTTATTTTTAATTAAAAGCTCTAAACACTTTCATGCTCTATTTCATAATTTTAGATAATTATATATATTTTTTATGTGTAGCATGCCTAACCTTTAGTTCCAACTTAAAATCAATTGTGCAACACTAATTTAAAACTTCAACTGTGAAAACTAAGAAAAAAAATCTTTTAAATCAACCTTGTTCCCTAGAAGATTTTGGGATTATAATGGATGATTTTTTTAGCATAGCACAGAAGTTCTGCATTCAAACAGGTCAGTTGGAGGATGCTGATAGTCAGGTGACGATGGCGTTGTCGGCAGTTGATGGAAGCCTTTTATGATCGGGCGCTTACAAATATTGGCAGTTGTCAAAGTTGGTCGATGATGAGCAAGTAATGCTGATCGTTGACATTGAATAGTGCTCAGAGCTTTAGAACCCTTCTAATTTAAGAATTCCCACCACTTAAGGACCCTTTCGAGCATGAAATGAGAACTGTTTATAATTTTTAGGAGGATTTCGGTTATTGTCACCAAAACCCCAAACGTTCCATTGGAAAACCAAAGATGACCCCTCTTGATAATTTCATGTTTTTAAAGTATTCATAAGGATATCACCATTAGAGCATTTGCTTCTTCATCGCAGTTGCTATCATCTTCATTACAACGAGATCCTTCGCATACATTCATGCCAAAATTTTTGGATGAAAAATGAATTTTAGTACTAGTAAAGGACCAATCTACATGGAGGAGAGACTCCATACCGAGGGACTTTTCAGTCTCAAAAATCTATTAGCTCTGATATTATTTTAAAATTAAATGAGAAGAGAAAAAAATAGAAAATGGGAGATTATATGACTGAATTTTATTCTCGTATTCAGCGTAAGAAAATATAAGTTATAGATAAGCAAGGAAATAACTATCAAGAAAAGAACGAGAATGACATAACGGAAAAGATGAGCGAAGAGTTTGGAGTTGTCGCTAATGACGTAGCTGGAGATGGTGCAGGAATG